TGGCCACGAGTCCAAATCATTTTCTAATGATTTTCTGTTTTGAACATGGAACATGAAAATGTAATGTTTGTGTTTTTTTGTGTGCATAATTTCCAGTTTGTTAATATATTTCTCACCACTGAAATTATAAATACCTACTAAGGACAAACCATTTATCACTTTTGTGAGACCAAATATAACTAGCAACAGACCTTTTATTTATTTATTTATTTATTACCATTTATTAACAAAGCTGTGCAGGGCGACCCCAAGCAAAAGTACCTACATACAGAAGACATTTGATGTTCAACCACATTTGATTTCTCAGTAAGGGGTGATTCTATTTACTCAGAAATGTGTTTTAAGGATATTCTCTTACTTGAAAGGTAGTTTAGCAATTAGGTGTCTGGTCAGGGTTTATATCCTAAAGTATGTGTTTGAAAAGTTTGGTAGTTTATGTTTTTAGAGACAAGGCTGTTTTTTACTTGTCGAACTGATTATAGTTTATTATTGATTGGATCTATGGATTGTATGTTATTGCATTTATTTGAATGTTAAAATGGATTCAAGAAATCGAGGTATACTTTTATTTTTTAATTTGTGTGACGTGTTGTCTAAACATGTACGGAATCTGAACATGTATATTATTCTTTAGATATCTGACTGTTTCGATTTGGCTGTATCTTTGATATGAAAAATCGTCTGCGTTTCAGTAGCTTTTACGACTTTATGTAAAAAAATAAAATAAATAGAAGCCCGAAAAAAAGGATATAAGAAAAAGAAAAAGAAAAATTGTCTGTGTAATTTTGCATGGGTGTGCCATGATTTATCAGCATTAAGGGTATTCTGAATTTTTGTTCTTATTTTGTCTGGTGTCTTTGTAATTCAGAGGATTTATTGTTTTATCATGTCAGATTGTGAATGGTTTTCTGTGGTCTCAACTCCTTTTCATCTCATACGGTGAAAGTATCTGATTTCATGAGGCTGCTCTTCAATAATCACCAGCAAAAAATCAACGTCATTTCTTTATTTACTGTTTTCAATTTCACGCAGGTCTTATGATTCTGAAATAGAACTAGGGTTGAAAGATTACTGTTTTTGATTTGTTTTGCAATATTGCTACACATCTCAGTCTTCTCCTCAAACTGTATTTTAATGGACAAACAACAGCCGGCTGCTACACACAGTGTGTACAGGTGCATCTCAATAAATTAGAATGTCGTGGAAAAGTTCATTTATTTCAATAATTCAACTCAAATTGGGAAACTCGTGTATTAACTCAATTCAATGCACACAGACTGAAGTAGTTTAAGTCTTTGGTTCTTTTAATTGTCATCACATTTAACAAAAACTCACCAATTCACTATCTCAACAAATTAGAATACTTCATAAGACCAATAAAAAAATTTTTTTTAGTGAATTGTTGGCCTTCTGGAAAGTATGTTAATTTACTGTACATGTACTCAATACTTGGTAGGGGCTCCTTTTGCTTTAATTACTGCCTCAGTTCGGCGTGGCATGGAGGTGATCAGTTTGTGGCACTGCTGAGGTGGTATGGAAGCCCAGGTTTCTTTGACAGTGGCCTTCAGCTCATCTGCATTTTTTGGTCTCTTGTTTCTCATTTTCCTCTTGACAATACCCCATAGATTCTCTATGGGGTTCAGGTCTGGTGAGTTTGCTGGCCAGTCAAGCACACCAACACCATGGTCATTTAACCAACTTTTGGTGCCTTTGGCAGTGTGGGCAGGTAGCAAATCCTGCTGGAAAATGAAATCAGCATATTCAAAAAGCTGGTCAG